GCCAGGCATACAAATGCGAACTTAATAAGCATCGGCCTAGAGTAATGTTGAAGGATGACCCTGCTATTAACTTAATAGAAAGGGGATCCTGTTGTTAACTTAATGGAGCCGACTTATCATCCAACAGATGTTTATTGAGTGCTTACTATGTAGCATTACTGCATTCAGTTCTGAGAACAGGGGAGAAAACTGCCACCACAAGTCTTACAGACAAGTGAAAAGAAAAAACAACGCAAAACTGCATGATGACTGCTGGGATAGGAGATGTAATACACGCTGGAAATAGGAAACAGAGAAGTAAGATTACTTTTGAGATTGAGAAAGGTTTTCTGGAGGAAATTGCTTCCTTCAGTGACGGAAAGATGACTTAGCAGGAGTTCTCCAGGTGCCTAGCAGTGAAGAACGTTCTGGGCCACCGCAGCAGTAAAGGTAAAGACCCAGAGATGTAAAAAACAAAACCCAAACCCTTAACCTTTTGGAGGAAGGAGAAAAGTGTGGTCAGCTGCAGAGAGTGTTCACGAGAGGACCAGGCCTAACCCTAACCCCAACCCTTGGTGATCAGTCAGCTGTAGGGGCGAGGGGGGCACCAAGGCTGGCCTTCCTGTTTCTGACCCAGGTGAGTGAGCACCACTGCTCGTGACAGAGCAGGTCTGGGGAGGAGGGACTGAGCTTCGATTGGGGTGGTTCGAGGTACTTGTGGGTGCTCCTATACCTCTGGGCCTCATGTACGGAGGCCTCGTGTCCCTCTCGAGGGAAGGCTGTTTCGCCGACACTCCACCAGTCTCCGTGTTGGCGGGCCTAGCCTCTGCTACTCCCATCACTGTTGTCCAGACGTTTCTCCTTTCCTTTCCCTGAACCCTAGCTCTTTTGAAGTCAATGCCATCTGGCGGGTCCACGGATTACTCCCTGCACTGCCAGTTCTGACAGACCCTGATGGATCCATTCACCAATGACTTTGGCTCCTGCCTCACAGCCTGCCTCTCCATCCTCCTGCGGCCCTTGTCCTTGGGGACTTCATGACCCATGGCAATGACCCATCTAGTACTCTTGCCTGTCACCTCCTTGACTGCCTCCCTCCTTCCACCAGCCAGCCTGTCCCACATTCACCTGACACAGCCTCAGCGCCATTCACAGATCACAACGGAATTCTGGATTCCAAGCCGCCCACGCTGACCAGCATTTCCTGTCCTCCCAGCTCATTTGGTTTAGTGACTGCACCACACAATTCTTCAACCTCATCAAGACCCCATTATTTGTATCACTTTTTCACTACCCATCAGCTCCTTCTGGTTTTCACATCCTTCTCTACTCAGGCAAGATATAGTCACTCTCCTCACACACCCTCAACAAACTTGCCTGTCTCCATCTCCCTCTCCATTTACTGACGGACGCACCCAGCGATCATCCTTCTCCACGTGCACCCGAGCAGCTGAACATTACCAGAAAAAATGTTACTGAGCTGGACCTATGGGCTCCACTTTCAGTTCATGACCACAAACTGCGTGTAAGCCCTCGGCACTGAGACCAGTGGCCTCGTGTCTCGCTCAGCCTTCAGCCTACGGTGCTCGGCGCGCTCTACCAAGGTTCTCCCAGCAAGGTGAGCAACGGGCGCCCAGGTTTAAGGTTCAGTGCACGCTTCTCAGCCCACATCATGTGTACCTGTAGCTTTGGCCTCTTCTCTCTCTTCTTCACCCACCAGGTGTAGGTATGTGTCTGCTAATTCAACATCTGTTTGGATGTCTAGTAACAGCTAAAAAAGAAGTCATCCAAGTAGATACCCCTACACCAAAACCTATTTCCTCTTCCACCTTTTTCAAACCAACCCAGTTATTCCAGGAGTCATAAACCTAGGAATCATCTTTCCCATTCACCCACATTCAATCTGTCAGCAAGCCCTTCCTATTTTACTTCCAAAATGTATCTCAAACCCTTTCCCCATCCCCTTTCCCATGTCTGTTTTACCATCCCTGCCCCTGTCCTGGTTCAAGCCATCCCATCTTTTGCCTCATCTTGTGCAGTACGCTTCTGACTGGTCTTCCAGAAAACTCTTCTCTTTTCTATAAGCAAGGGAGCTTTAGACCATGTAAATTAGATCACACTCCGCCCCCCCCCCCCGCCCCCCCAGGCTTCCACTGCAACTGAGCTAATCCAGACTCTTTGTTGTGGTCAGCAACGCCCCTAGCAAGATAGCCCCTGCCTGCCTCCCCTGTGCCCCCTCTTCACTGGGCTCCACTGGACCCACCCCACCCACGCTGACCTCTTACCTACCTCAGGGCCTTAACAGGAGCTGCTTCCTCTGCCTGGAATGCTCTTCCCCAGAATCCTCAATGGCATCTCCTGTTTGCAATGCAGATCTCAGTCCAAATACCTTCTCTTGAGAGAGGACTTCCCCGACTACCTTATCTAGTATAGACCCTTTTGCTTGAGTTATTCACTCACCCTATTTATTCCCGTCATATCACTTACTGTAATCCAATGCTGAATTGTTTAATATTTGTTTAGTTTTTTACTCACTGTTCTCTCCTACTGGATATCAGTGCCATGAGAGTAGGGACCTGACCTGATTTGCCTAGTTTACTCACAGACCTTGTCTTAAAAATCACCTTATTTATTTATTTTAATTAAATATTTTATTTATTTATTTATTTTAGAGAGAGAGCGCACATGAGCAGGAGGGGTAGAAGGAGAGGGAGAGAATCCCAAGCAGACTCCATGCTGAGTGGAGCCCAATGCAGAGGTCGATCTTATGACCCTGAGATCATGACTTGAGTGGAAATCAAGAGTTGGATGCTTAACCGACTGAGACACCCAGGTGCTCCCCACCCTTATTTTTTTAAAGATTTATATATTTATTTTAGACAGAGAGAGAGGGAGTGAGTGGGGGTAGGGGCAGAGGGAGAGGGAGAGAAAGATCTCAAGCAGACTCCACCGGAGTACAGAGCCTGACACGGGGCTTAATCTCACGACCCGGAGATTGTGACCTGAGCGGAAATCAAGAGTCAAACACTCAACCAACTGAGCCACCAGCTGCCCCTAAAACCCACCTTTAGCTTATAGCAGGTGCTCAAGAAACACTTGTTAAGTAAATGAATACAAAGTTAGACAGGTGAATGTGCCGATATAAGCCTCTGGTGAAAGATCTGCAGAGGAGATAAAGATTTGGGGATTATTATAAGAGATAAATCTAAATAAGCAAGGTATGGGAGGGAACTTCCTTAATCTGTTAAAAGGATCTGCAAAAAAAAAAAAAAAAAAAAAAAATCTGCAGCATGAGACTTAGTAGTGAAACACTGAAACAGTCCCTATAAAAATGGAAGAAGACAAGGATGCTCACTACCCTATCTTCCAGGCAGTTCTGCTGGAGATCCTAGCCTGCATAGTGAGGCAACAAAGAGAAACAATGTTTCAAAAGAAAGACATAGAAATGACATTATTTGGACACACATTATTTTTGTAGAAAATCAAAATAATCTATAGATAAGTGATTAGAGTTTAGTGAGGTTTCTGGATCAACATACAAATATCAATTGCTTTTTTTTTTAAAGAGTTTATTTATTTATTTGAGAGAGAGCAAGAGTGAGAGAGAGAGAGAGAGAGCATGAGCAGGGAGGAGGGGCAGAGAGAGACGGAGAAGCAGGCTCTCTGATGAGCAGGGAGCCTGAAGCAGGGCTCAATCCCAGGACCCCAGGATCATGACCTGGGCCAAAGGCAGAGGCTTAACAGACTGAGCCACCCAGGCACCTCTCAAATGCTTTTTAAAATAATTTTTTATATACCAGGAGAATGCAGACTATCTCATTATCCTATGTTCATCTCTATATGTAAATGAAACAACCATTGTTTCACCACAAAACTCACTGTGAGCACAAGTAGTTACAAAAAGAGAGCACCCTATAGACCTACCAAGGTGTGTTATCACCATACCTTAAAATACCAGATGTCACAAGAGAACGCCACAAATATCCAAGAAGAAAAAAACATAGGTCACCTACAATGGAACAAGAATCAACAGCATTGCTGGATGCTAGAAGACAACGGATAAATACTTTGATACTTCTGAAGAAAAATAATTTTATTTTAAACATAAAATTCTATACCCAACTAAGCTGGCATTAAGTTATAGATGTTTAAAACTTTGACATTTTTGGACATAGAAGGACTTAGAAAATTTGCCCCATATATATTGCTCAGAATTATCTGAGAATATGCTCCAGCACAAGGAAGGAGTACACAAAGAAGAATTACACTTGAGATCCGGGATGAGGTAGATGGAGCCCAGGGGAGCGGTCAAGGGGAACCCTTCAGAAGACTTCCCGATGGCAGGCATGGCTCAGCGCAACCAGGCCTGATGGGAGGGGTTCATACAGGCTTCAGGGAGGGAGATTGCTAAGAAAAAGGGCTTGATAGAATACAGTAACAAGGGGGTGGGATAGGGAAAGGAAGGGTATTGATTGTAATCAAGACACCACAAGGAAAACAAGGTATAATCAGAAACTCTAGGCCAAAAAAAAAGCCTGCGTAAGGAACAAATATAATTATAATCCATTACAGTCAGCATGTACAAAGTCACAAACTGTTGATTGATGTAACAACTATTGATATAAAAGGTACTGACATAAATGTGATGATTTAATGATATTGGCAGAATAAAGGTTGGAGGGTAACATGAAAGTTACATCCTCATCTGTTACAGCCAGAGTATAGAGGGTCTGAAATGGCTGGGTCAAGAAAAAGCATCGAAGTATCACAAGTGGAGGTAAGCACCAGAAGAAACTGCTTCGAGCGGTAGAGGCGATTGGCCGGGCAAGCGGAATTCGGCGGAGCGGAGGGCATGCACGCGGAAGGTGTGTTTGCAAAGAAGTCTCAGTGCACTGAGTGTGAACTGTGTGTATTTAGCACTTCGACGAAAGCAAACATTCATTTCAAGAGAAAGGTCTCCAGTCCAGAGGGGGGGGGGTTTCGGACACCGATTTTTTTTTTTAGGGTGGGGCCAAGGAAGCTTCAGGGCCCCGCGAGGGCTGAAGTTTCTTCTCGCTCTGTAGCAGTTCCGAGAACCCGCCCCGAGAGCCAGACGGAGGGGCCGCTCGCGGTGGTTCACTCCCCCCCAAGGCGAGAGACACCTCCGAGCCTGTCCTTAGAGAAACGGAGTCCGCTTCGGGCGCCCCGCCCGGCTTGTTCCCCGGAGGGGCTGCAGGCAGGCTTCCCGTTCGCGGTTCTGGGGGCGCGTGAGGCCAGTCTTCTCCGTGGTTCTCCGATCCGGACGGCGCGGACCACCGGCGCCCGGAGCCTAAGCCTTTCCCCGAGGGGAGGAGGAGCGCCGGACGGTCCCGCGTCCTCCCACGGCCCAGCTGCGGAAATCGGCGCGGGCCGACCAGGCGCTCCGAGCGCCCCGCAGGCGCCTTTGCGGGCCGAGTTCGAGCTTGCTCGTCTCCAGCGCCCTCACTCCCAGATCGTGATCTGCGGTCGGCCGGTGCGTCCTAGGGGAGGAGCGGCACCCGTGGACCTCAGGAACCTTCTCGTGCGTCCCTTCCGCCCGCGAGGGGCTTGCTTGAAACGGGGCGCACCGGCAGCCAAGTTCGGCTCCGACCGCGACCGGCTCGCAGCCGCCAACAACCAGGCACCCGCACGCGGCTCCCTCGGCTGCGCGCCCCCGACCCCCGCTTCGGCCCCGACGCTCCCGACCTCTTCGTCGTGGCGTCCGCGGGCCGGCGGCCCCGCCCCGGCGTCTGTCACGCGAGACCCTCCCAAGATGGCGGCGGCCGGGGGCGGGGCTCCGCCGCCGGGGGCGGGCCGGGGGTCGGGCCTGCGGGCGGGCCGAGCCGAGGTGGGCAGCCCCAGCGCGCCTGCGCGGAGCGGCCCTGCGTGCAGCGAGGCAGTGGCGGGGGGACGGCACCGGCGGGCCGACGGGCGGCTTGAAGCAGGGAAGCGGGCGAGCGGAGTCCCGGTGCGCGCCGCGGCCGCCCGGCGCCCTCCCCTTCCGGGTGCGAGGCGCTGTGCGGGGCCGAGCCGAGCGGACCCGCGCCGGCAGCGAGGCGCAGCTCCCGCCGCCCCGGCCCGGCCTCCCCCGGCTCCGGCGCTCCCGTCGCGGGGGCCCGCGTTCCTCGGCACAGCCGGCTCCAGGCGCCCCCGAGCCTGCGCTCGGCCTCCGAAAGCCCCGGCGCCGGCCCGGGCCCTCGGCGGGAGGATGACGGAGCTGCAGTCGGCGCTGCTGCTGCGAAGACAGCTGGCAGGTGAGCGCGGGGCGCCGGCCGGGCCGGGCCGCGGGCAGCGGCGGCCGCCAAGTGCTCCCTCCTGCGGGCGGGCGCTCGGCCGGCGTCGGGCGGGCGTCGGGGGCGGGGACGCGCCCCGCCGCGGGGCCCGGGCCGGGCCCGGCGCCCGCCCCCTCCCCCACCGCCCATTGGGACGTTGCGGGGGAGGCGCCGCGGGGCCCCGGAGGGGCGGGCCCGGGGCTCAGGTGCGGCCGGGGCGGGGGCCGCGGGCGCCCGGGGGGCCGGGCGGGGCGTCCGGGGCGCGGGGGGCCGCGGGGGGCCGGGCGGGCGGGGCCCGGGCGGGCGCGGGGGGAGGCGCGCGAAACTTCTGGCCGGCCGCGCGGCGCCGCGGAGTTGGGGCGGACAACAAAAGCGCCGGCCCGGGCGGCCGCGCCGCGCGGCTGGCGGCGGGGCGGGCGGGTGCGGGGCGCCGCCGGGCCTGCCCCCGCCTGGCGCGGGTCCCGCCGCCCGCCGCGGGGGGTGGGAGCGGGCCGGGGGGCCGCCCGCGGCCGGCCCGGGCTTTGTGCTCGGGGCGCCGCGGCCCCGCGCCGGCCCGCCGAGCCGGGGGCGGCGGCCGCTGGCCCGGCCTGGCTGGGGCGGCGGCCCGGGCGGCCTCCGGGAGGGCCTGCGCCCCCTCCCCCACTGTCCCGGCCTCCGGCCGTTGCGGCTTCCAGGGCGACTTTTGGGGGTTGGCTCCGACTCCGCAGGACTGGGCGAGCGGGGCATGCGCGCTGCGGCGGACGTGCGCGGAGTGCGCGCTGGGGGCGGGCTGGTGGCCTCACAATGCGGCCCCACGTGCCGCCGGCTTAAAGCGAGACGGGCCGGCGGCGCGCCCCGCCGGGTCCCCGCCGGGTCCCCGCCGCCCCGCGCCCGCCCCGCGGAACTCGGCGCAGGGGGACTTGCGCTGCGGCTTGAATCACCTTCATGGCTCCCTGGGAGAAGGCTGGCGGCGGCTGTTCAGATTGTGTAATGAGGGTTATTATTAGACCGTGAGCAGGCAGGTTGGGACAAGTGTGAAGTTCTGGGTGCTCTTGGGGAATGGCTTCAGGTGCATGGAGGAGGCCGGGCGACACTGGTGATCCATCTCGAGTAACGTATCGGGAGAGCTGTGAGCCGGTGCCCTTGCTGCATCTTGCGTGTGCACACGCACCTTACCTTTTGGGTCGTCTTTTCGCTGGTTTTGTTTTGGAATTAAGATGCGCTTTCGTCTCGCCAAGAATTCTTCAGCAAGTGTTTATCATGCGGTGAACAGTGTTGGCATACTGAGTGCGAAAACAGCATTCAGCTTTACACAGTGGGAAGCACACACCTTAAAAGGTGTAGAAGAAGTTACAGGCAGTTACCAGGAAAGTCTGACTAATAGCAGCGTTAGCATTTCAAACGTAGTTTCCTACTCAGCTCCAGATTTTGATGGCCCCTCGGTTCAGTTCTGCACTTCTTGACCAGGTTTATCTCAGGTGTTGATTTTCCAAAGTTCTTCGTTCATGGTTGACTCTTTTAAGATTTTATTTTTAAGTAATCTCTACACCCCACATGGGACTCAAACCCACAACCCGGAGATCAGGATTCCCGCATGCTCCACGGACTAAGCCAGCCGGGCCCCCAGCGACGGGCTTTTCGATAAGGCCCATTCGGACATGCCTTAAGCTTAGCGGAGAGAATGGATGGGTGTGTAATTTTTCAGGTCTCATTATAAAGTTACTTAACTGCTGATTAATTTTTCTTGCCTTCTTGATCAGAAACAATGGACTGGTCTTAATTTCTTAAAGATTTGGAGGATTTTAATTAACATGGACAAAATAGTACGCCAAGGCAGTGTATTAAGTGAAGTGTAAAAATATCAACGTTCATTGGAAAGACTTGATAACTACTCACTAAAATAAAGGCCCTGTTGGATGTTAGTAGTACATTGTTTGAGCTTTGTGGTTCTTCAGATATCATTTGAAAACAGGAAAGAATGGTAAACTGTAATCTCTTGAAATCATTTAGACTGAGCTTTGAAAGGCTTAATGATAAATGCATTAAAAGTCTTGAAATAAATTGAATTGAGCAGACAAAGCTGTAAGCCATTCTAGCTGCTAGAATTTCAGAAACTTACAACAGCAGTGGTCCATAGTGGTTAGGTTTATTGAGGCTGACTTTTAAGGGTTTTACTTCATTACTCATTACTCCAGGGGAGAATTTTTTTTAAATTTTTATTTATTTATTTTATTCTTATGTTAATCCCCATACATTACATCATTAGTTTTAGATGAAGTGTTCCATGATTCATTGTTTGTGCACAACACCCAGTGCTCCATGCAGAATGTGCCCTCCTCAATACCCACCACCAGGCTAACCCATCCTCCCACCCCCCTCCCCTCTGGAACCCTCAGTTTGTTTTTCAGAGTCCATCGTCTCTCATGGTTCGTCTACCCCTCCGATTTCCCCCGCTTCATTCTTCCCCTCCTGCTACCTTCTTCTTCTTTTTTTTTTCTTAACATATATTGCATTATTTGTTTCAGAGGTACAGATCTGAGATTCAACAGTCTTGCACAATTCACAGCGCTTACCAGAGCACATACCCTCCCCAGTGTCCATCACCCAGTCACCCCATCCCTCCCACCCCACCCCCCACTCCAACAACACTCAGTTTGTTTCCTGCGATTAAGAATTCCTCATATCAGTGAGATCATATACATGTTTTTCTCTGTTTGACTTATTTCACTCAACATAATACCCTCCAGTTCCATCCACGTCGTTGCAAATGGCAAGATCTCATTCCTTTTGATGGCTGCATAATATTCCATTGTGTATATATATATATATATATATATATATATATATATATATATATATACCACATCTTCTTTATCCGTTCATCTGTCGATGGACCTCTTGGCTCTTTCCACAGTTTGGCTATTGTGGACATTGCTGCTATAAACATCGGGGTGCACATACCCTTTCGGATCCTCCAGGGGAGAATTTATTGTGTGTGTGTGTGTCTGTTTTGTTGGTAACTGGAATGAAGAACCTCCTGGTTCCTTTCAGAGTGGGGCAGAATGGTTCCTTTGGTTGCAGAGTTTCTCAGACTCAGGACTACGGACATTTTGAAAATGGCAGACACTGTTGTGGGGGCCTATGCTGTGCCGTATAGAATATTTAGCAGCATTCTTGGCCTCTACCCACCAGATGCCAGTCGTAGAATACCCCTTCAGTTGTGACAGCCAGACCTGTCTGTGTTGCCAGTGTCCCCTGAGGGAGTAAAACCAACCTAGATTGAAAAATCACTGGTTTAAGGTGGTTGGTTGGTTAAGACCATGATGGCCATGGTGAAGCAAGTAAGAACACCTAACAGACTCACAAAATCAGATAGGCTGTGTATTTCTTTGTGGGTATTATTAGACTCTGACTCCTTTGCGGGTTCAGCAGCAGTGCATAATACTAAACACTGAGAAATCCGATACACCAAATTTCACTTCAAAATTGTTTTATTTTGGGCGCCTGGGTGGCTCAGTTGGTTAAGCGACTGCCTTCGGCTCAGGTCATGATCCTGGAGTCCCGGGATCGAGTCCCACGTTGGGCTCCCTGCTCAGCAGGGAGTCTGCCTCTCTCTCTGACCCTCCCCCCTCTCATGCTCTCTATCTCATTCTCTCTCTCTCAAATAAATAAATAAAATCTTTAAAAAACAAAAAACAAAATTGTTTTATTTTTTTGAGAAGGTATTATAAGCACTGGTTAAAAAGACAGAGCACAAAATGGTATAGTCTTTCCACTCCCCCAAAGAACCCCAAGTTCTTTTCTTGGAAACAGCCATCATTGATAATTTCCTGTGTGCCTTTTCCGAGAGATTGCTGTATCTCTGTTTATGTGTATGTGTATTTCCTGAGGACTAGCATGTACTGGGCCCTGTGTGGACTGCTTTACGTGTATTATCTCATTTAATCCTCCTGATAAGGAAATCGTGCCTTCGAGATGTTGGGTTACTTGCTCAAAGTCAAGCTGTAGTGAGTGAGTGGTCCTGCTGCATTCAAATTGAGGGCCTTCTTATTTTGGAGACTTTGTTGTTTTTATTTATTTACTTATTTACTTTATTTTTGACTTTGTTTTTAATTGGCTATATTGCCTCCCAGGGAGCAGTAATTACCACAAACATGAAATAGTATTTTATAAATTTTAATATTCAGAGTTAATTTATCCAGTAACTACCAAAATGATTGTGGAAATGTTCCTATCTTAATAAAATATATCGTCAAAATACCGCATATTAAAATCTAAGTGGTCTTCTTAAGGTAATCGTAAAAAGATATTTTAGCCGTTGTGAGCTTAAGGCCAACATTCTGCAGAATTGGAATTAAAGTCATAAGCTGAAAGTATTGCTGAGCTTTTGGTGTTGGTGGTTAGCGATGAGAAAAATTTTGGACTAGTTGGGCTTGGAAATATTACTTATTTTTTTAAAGTAGTCTCCACACTCAGCAAGGAGCCCATTGGGGGTCTTGAACTCATGACCCTGAGCTCGAGAGTCAGATGCTTAACCAGCTGAGCCATCAAGGCGCCCCTTGGACTAGTTGGACTTACTCTACTCTTACCGTACTAAGTTTTATGATATGACAAGCATTTATAAGGAATACAAGGAAGTTTTTGCACTTTTTTTTTTTTAAGATCGCTTGAGGGTGGTTTTTTTTTTTTTTTTTTTTTAACATTGGTAGAATAGATTTTTCAAGAGTTAGGGTCTCGTAGGCACCTGTCATTCCAGAACTAGGAAGAAGAATTTTTTTATACAGTAGCAATAAAATAATTGAGCTGCTTTTACTGTAGAAATTTTGATTGTGTATTTTAAAGTAATCTGGAAATTCCCAAATCTTCATCTCCTTGACTACACATATAAGTAGGTTGTTGTGATGAGTTAGTTAAGTGTGGTTCTTAGACTTAATGTGCAGTGGAATCACTTGGGGAAATACAGATTCCTGGTATCATCCCCAAAGAGTCTACGTATCTTGATG